ATCTTGCCATTATTATGACATATACATCAACAGTTACGCATCATCAGTCGGGTGTGATTTTCTGTGTTGATGTGGGTCTTCAAGACAACGATACTTTCAAACACACTCGCCCTAAGATTGAACATATAATACACCATGGCGATAGAGAGATTCATCCGTAGAGCCAAGTGTTGTTGGTTCAATAAGTGGTTTCCAAGCAAGCATATTTTCATTGAATAGTGCTATTTCAACATTTATTGTTGATTGAAGTGTCATCTGAATAAATAAAAACAAAATGTACAATAGAAATGTACAGAAATAGAAAAATTCTTACATTTGATGACCAATTTGAATATTAGCAGCTAGATTGGATAAACACATGGCTACAACAGATTTTGTAACTGAATCTAATCCAACTTCAAGTTTTAATTCAACTGTTTCCAATGTTAAAATTAACTACTAGTCAAAAAACAGAAATTTTATAATTAATAAGAAAAATCATTTCTTTTGGTTTTTTAATTTTAACATTTGTTCTGCTACTGTTTTTTTGTATTTCTTCTTTTTCTTTAATAGCTTTTTGTTCTGTTGGATTTCCTTGAGTTGTTTCTGATCGGTTGGTTTGTTGAAGTTTTTCTTCAAAATCTATTCGATAAAATACTGAGATAAAGTCTAAGAAAACTTTAAATGAAAAACCCTTTTCAAACCAAAATATCTCATCTTTAAAAGATTTTGGAACAAATAATCATTTCGGAATAAGTTTTTCTGTTTCATTTTTTGTCACTGTCTGAAATCAAAACAATTATATGAATAAGTATTCATAGTTCCTTTCTTTGTTTTTCTAACTTGTCATGTTCCTAACGAAGTTGTAACATCGATAACAGTTCCAACGGCAGCTAGTGGAATACTAACAATAACATCTGATATTCGCACATCAATTTTTTGTTGTTTATTATTCATCATCAAATAGATATCAGCTTTAGCTGGTTGTAAAATTTTAAGAGAAACTTTAATTATTAAGCGTATCTGTCATCTTTTGAACTATTTCTAGTATTAAAAAAATTTAGAAGAATATACTTACTCCGGACATCGATCTGACTTTGTTTCATCAAGTTAAGCTTTTACTACAGATACTTGAGAGGATACCTCAGATTTCTCTTTAACACTTTTTGAAATATATCAATCTTTCAATTGTTCAATTTACAAAAAATTCGAGAAGAACCAGTTCAAAAACCAATTTCTCGCGTAGTGATTTCCTCGATTTTAAAATCGTAAGTCTAGAAAGAGATATATTTTCAAAAACCTTGAAAATATATCTGAGAATTTGTCTCAGGTATCTCCATAAAAGTGTCAGTCTTATTGAAAAAAAATGAGGCCATACTCTTACACGAGTTTGATGACTTTTGAAGGTTTCTTCAAAAGCTCTTGAAGATCTACTTTTAAAATATATTTCTTGCATGTAGACCCCATTATTTTTAGCTAATTTAACTGTAGTATACACGTGAATCTGACTAATTGTACTTTCTCGAACAATTAGAAGTAGTCTCAAGGAGAGACGTATTCTTCTTATTTAGTCGTTTCTGACTCTGGGCGTGGATACAACGAATCCATAGGAACTTTTTACCTTACATGGAGCACGTCAAAACAAGAAGACACACGTCCGATTAAATTAACATGTTTTACGTAGGATTTTCTGGAAAACTCTGATTTTATACAAGATCAAAGCGCACCTGCTTACAACTCTCGTCTAATATTCTCTGATTAAGCTGTGACTACGGTTAGAGTTATTTATAAGTGTTCTTCGGAAGTCAAATCGAACGCGTTCATTTTTTGATTCCTTTATTTGGATTTGCAGAACTCCAACCGTTAAGAAAAGTCGAAAATTAAACAGAAGCAGTAAGTGTTTCCGATGTAGTTTTTCGGAAAACTAAAGTTTTCCTAACAAACCTGGAAAAATCTTGGTTAAAATTTTTTCTTCGAACCTCCATCTCTTTATCTTAGACTCTCTATCTATGTCGATTGCATCCTCTTCGAGAATCAGAAATAGCTAAAAATCGAGGATAATCTTAAATCATTGGATTATCTAGCAACTTACACGATATTTTATTTTTGATCGACAACTATCTGACCTTTTCAATGTGGTATAATTTGGGCTATAAATTGTTAAATTTGTGAACCATACATATAATTGTGTATCATTATCAATAATAGATCATACAGAATTTGTAAAGCTGACTAAAAAGTGATTTTTTTCGTATAAGATAATTATTTAAGACAAGTAATGAAATTTACATCAATTACAAGACAATTTGAATTTGAATTGGGTGCGAATGCAGTTGTGGGTTTCAGTAAAGATCTATATTAAATTACCCTCAACCCCACTCACTAACACACCCTATTAGAATTTATTTGGATGAAAATAATTTTTATAGCTTTTTAAGAACTAATCTAGGTAGACCTTACAAGATTACGAAGACTTTTGCTAGGTAGGACCTGAAAAATTATAAGAACTACTCACGGAGGAAAGAAGAGACTTCATGAGGCTTTTTGACTGCATGGGGTTTCCAAGAACCTTAGAAATAGCATAAAATTTCTGTAACATGCAAAAAACACTACGTATTATTCAGAGATAGGAAAAGAATTTCTGTTATTTTTCAATTATTTTTCGCGATACACCTATTGATGAAACATTTCGCTGCAGAATAGAAGAATAACATGTACCGATAAAAGTATTTTTATTTGAGTCATTCAATAAATATCTATTCACGTCAATATTCAAAAGTAAAAACAAACATATATAAACAATTAAACACAAACAAATAAATAATTTAATGAAAAATAATAAAATAAACCGATTTATTTTAATAATTTTTTTTTTGAACTTCTACTTCTTTCACAAATATGTATGTCTTTTATCTCTACTAGAAAACTCTTCAGTTCAAAACTATTTTTGGGAATAAACACACATTCATTTCCTTTTAAAATAATCCATTTATATAGTGTCTTTTATAAATCTCTTTATATCATTAGATTTTATTGCATACAACTCAAACAATGTTCGTCAACCCTAGAAAATCTTTTCGTTGAGAAGGTTTTTTTTTGTTCTTCTATTCGTTTTCAACGCCTTCAGATAAAATCATAAGAATTTTCTCAATACTATTTATGAACTACATTTTTTGATTCATTAGATCCAGGATACGTTAGACAAAATGTCAATGAAATACGTGTCACTCTTTTGAAGTCAAAAATAATTTTTTTCTTGTGATGTTCTAAAAAATTCTTAATTTTATTAGTTAATATATTTTGTAGTTCACCATAGTAAGGAATTGAGATAAATATATTTTCACGATAAACAAATGAGAAAATATTGGTGATATTCTTCCCTTGTCCAACATCTCTTACAGCTTTTATTATAACATTTAATGAACACTCACTTGCTGTGAATATCCATTTGTAATATATTAATTATTTTTTTAAATAAAAAGTGCGCAGAACAGATTCTTTTTTGCATGAATACATGAGCATTTAAATGCGTTTATTGTGTATTTCCGGATTGGTTGCTGCTCGTTTTCAAATATAACTCGGTATCTATAGACTTCCTGTATACGTAGACAATTAATTTCATCTCCGTTCTCTTCACTATAACATCAAAAAAATGGAATCTTTTTATTTTTCATTCCAATGCTATTATTTACATATGGCTGAATTTTCTTCATGACTATAACAGAAAAAAACTTGTATCTTTTTCTTTTCCATATATAATCATAAAAATGTCATTTACATAAGAATAAAATAATGCTGTTTTTCTCCTTTGTAGCTCTGCATTTAGTTGTCACAATCACTCATACAGAAAAGTATCAGCATAGATTCTAAAGGACTACACATACTCACTTCGTTTATTTAATCATAGTTTTCATCGTTCAAAATTTAAGAAGCTCATTTAAATTCTTATCAGTTATGACAAGCTCAGGACGATGTTTTCTTATTTTTCTAATCACAATAGGTAGGATTTTCTCTAGTAGCACATTGGTATGTAAAGCCGAGATGTTTAATTAACATATCAATCCACCAATATCTTTATTCAGTCGAATTTTATCAGTAGTATGTGTAAAAATAAAGGTTTTAACTCATGCAGTAAAAAGAAGTCAGTAACGATAGTGTTCTACATGGATTTTTGGTTCTCAAATACTATTCTTTAATGTATCACCGCTTTAATTGATCTTTTTATTAATGAGCCCACTAAAATCGAGTTATTTCTTATCTCTTTTTTTAAAAATAGGCAACAGCCTCTATGAATAGATAAATAAAATATTCTTTTTGAAACATGCTTATTGAAAAGTAATCAAAGATATATAGAAATCACCATTTTGCGCCATTCTTCTTAGCTTTACGGAAAGTACGCAATCTTTCTAAATAGCGTTTGTCTTTCGTGTCGTGTGGTTTCGTTTATCAACTTTTTATAAGAACAAGCTGAGTAGGATCCGAAAGAGGAGAGCAAGCTTTATGGCTTGGTAAACAATAGTTTTCTTTCAGTACCATTCTATCGAAGAGAAACAAGGAACACCATTTTATACCATTGATTTTGCATCGTAAATTATAAACAAATGTTTCTGAAAAATTGTTAACAATATTCTCACATTTATATATTTATTCTTATACAATAAGTACACAATTAAATACTCCTTAAAATCAGTTTTGCTTAGTTAAAATTACTGAAGTGGTTACAAGTATTTACCATAGGAAAATTTTTGAGAACTTTTTTCCATATATGATTTAACTGTATTATAATTATAAGAATCAAAACTAGATATAATCAGTCTCACCAGAAACGTTTTTGCGTCTTGGTCAAAAAATATGCTTTGTGAGAGGAGAAGAAGGTTTCTATATACAGCATTAGGCTTTATTACTTTATATCATGTGTCTCGCATTTTTTTTTCTTTAATTTCAGTAAAAATGCTATGAATTTTTGTCAAGTTATTCTGTAGGGTTACAAATTAATTTCTTAAAAGCCTCTTTGATCATCCAGACTTTCTTACGCTTCAGATAATAATTTTTCTCAATTCAACACCACAATCGTATTACCTTTGTTTAATTTTTGATGTAACCAAAGACTTATTATTTTTAAGTGAGAGAATACCTGCTCTTTCTTCTTCTGATGAATTAAGAAGTTCTTTTTCATATTAGTATGACTTATATTTCCAAAATTATTTAATAAAATCTTTTTTACTAGATTTATTATTTGAATCAGATAATTTATTTTTTTGTAAACATACAAATAAGTTTATTCTAAAACTGATTTAACATTGAATATATTCAATTGATTACATTCATAGCATATATACATCCTTTTCAAAAAATGATCTTGTTTAGCTTGGGTTAAAGAGCGATAAGAATAATTTCATACTAATTTCTAGTTGAAATCATTAGAATCAAAGCAATTTTTAATAACCTCAATTTCTTTCTATGACGTTCTTCTATTAACTTGGTTTCATTAAAAATAATATTTTCAAATGAAACTTCATTTGTGAATGTTAATTTCAAACTTTTATTAGTTCTGATCGATTTCTTGCATAGTCTCGTTTGTGAGTTATATTCATCAAGTAACATTCATCTAACAAATTCTTTTTATTTTGATGGCTTTTTTTAAACTCTTATTATAAAGTTTAGATCTAGTAAATCTTGGAGAAATATTATATGACAGTCATATTGGATTTACTTCTATAGCTTGTTAAAAATGACATTGGTTTAACGTAAGTTTTTCAAATAATCTATATGTTGTCAAGAAATTCTCACCATATTTCTTAATGGTAGTAATTAATAATTCATCAAGATTTTTATTCACTCAGTGAATCTTTTAAATACACAATAAGAGAATAATAAGCACCAATAGAAGCATTACTGTTTGAGATATTCCGCTTCTATGGTGCTTATTATTCTCTTATTTTGAATTGAATGTACCCACTGAATAAATAAAAACCGTAGTGACTCATTTCACTAAAGATATAAACAACGGCACTTATTAACTAGAATAATGTATTTTTATTTCCAACCATCTCAGAATTTTCCCGATAGATTGATAACAACATAAAGGTTCAAACGATAGTTCAAAAACGCATCGAGAACAATTCAATTTCATTGATTTCTTTGTGAATTTTTTCATGAATTGAATTTATCCCCACGGTCTGATAAAATCCCATTAGACTTGATGAGGCTTAAGATGTAAGTCCCTATTGTTTCCTCTTTGAAACTATCATCAGACATGACTTTGAAAGTTATCAGAATCGTCCATAGTTTAACATTAAACGGGTGTCAGTCTACCTTTCAGCTGCGCTCAAACTCCACCTAGACTGTAACATCTCAAGAACTGCAAATACTCAAGACACATAATGGCAGAATCCAAGGAATTTTAGGAATACTAAGAACTGTAAGGATTCAACAGATTGTCAGAACATAAAGAACCAAACGTCTTTTTTTAGTATCTGGGAACCTATTCGATATGTGAAATGCTTGAAGTTCCAACAATCTTGTAATACGTTATGTCTGTTTCATTACGTTTTTTTTTCTGAACTTACGTAATTGGTGCAATTAGAAGTATTTTAGTATATACGCTCTATTAAACTAATATTTCGGTGATGAAATAATATTAATCAATTAAAGAATAGTCTATAATACACATAGAATATATCTGATCGTTTCTCACGATAGCTATTATCATAACTAGCAGAAAATTTATGGTTCAGTGGACACTTCAATGAATACAGTTGAGTGTCCTATCGTCTTGAGGCCGAGAGATGTGCAAGTTTTTCTTTGGTAATCTCAGTTTCGTATTCTGTCATTTTCATAACTATCCGTAAGGATTGCGAAGAGGTCTTGATAGATTCCGATATGTTAACATTTAAATTAAACAATTTATATTCAAAAAGTCATTGTTTCAATGTGTAAATTTTACTTTTTGCCTCTTTTATTAAAAGTTCTACATATCCATGAATATTGCTTCCAAAAATATTCTCCGGTAACAGACTAGTTCCAACAATAGTCTTTTAGAACTGCTAGTAATCCCAAATATATTGAAAATAATATGAAATTTAATACAGATACCATCTGTGTTCTTAGAGTTTCTAGGATTGATTAAGTTTCTTAACATGAATTCGTATGAGCTATTGTGAAGAGTCAGAGTATATGAGTTTTAAGGGTATTTTGGACGTTTTGAAATTCTAGGAGTTCAGAACTCATGGACTGTGGACAATGCTGATTGTTATAAACCTACTAGAGAAGTGAATGCCTTTAAGAAAAATTCCATGGAGATCCTGAAGGTTTTTCCTCTATCGAAAAATATGGTCGATCTTCGATTTTGAACTCAGTAATCTTGAAAGATAGTCCATCTCATAACATACTCGAATGTAAAATTTCCGAATGCTGTATCTTTTCCTCGATTAGCTACAACTGATCTGCTATGTAGAATCTCTTCGACACTGTAACATTGTGTTTTTAGAGCGTACTCTGGCCTGTTGAGTATTTGTTCGATATTTTATAATGGTTCAAAAATAACTATATAAGACTCAGTGTCATCAGCAGGAGTGAAACAGGATAGACTCATACAACTGCGAAAGACTCTTTCAATCCTGAAAACTAAATCTTACTTCAAAATTCAGCAGGAATCTATTGAATTCTTTTGAACTCTGAAATCAAGTCTATTTGTGAACCTTAAAATGTTGTAACATGATTAAAAGATTTCTTCGCAGTTGGATGAGTCTATCCTATGCAATGCAGGCATCAGAGATGGAACTGATACTGGTTACGAATCCTCGAAAATTCAGATCGATTCCATCTCTGTTAGGGGCCGTCACTAATGACAATCGATTAAGGTCAGTGCGCTCTACAAAACTGCGTGTTGACTTTTCCTCTCAGGCTTCCATGTTGATTTAAAAAGCCAAAATATCGTTTTTCATTGTAGTCGACATTGCTATTCTTGCTAGTATTCTAGCGGAATATTCAGGTTTATCAAGAATTACCAAACAGCTAGACAATAAACAGTTTTTTTGCTGAACATCTCTTAGTTTGTCTCTTGTTTATCGATTATCTTCAACTAAACAGCTTATGTTAGCGATGCTAGAATTATAGACTTATGTTTTACCATACTGTTTTGTACTAATAGCACTTTACACCGATATTTTTTTTTTGCTTTTTTTTGAATAGTTACTCTGTTTACAGGTTTTTCATATTTCTAATATCTGTAACCATTCAGCGCAGTGATTATAATTAAATGCTTTCAAATATAGAGTTAAAGTGCAAAGTCATGTTCTGTATAGTTAGTGAAGTGTCCTATTGACTCAGTTATATTTTTAAAGATAGAATGAACAATACCACAACAAACGACATAAATAGCATCGAAAGTACTCTTTCTAACATTTCCAGTCAACTGATCATCTACGGTGGCTTATTTCTGTTGCTCATTGGTAATATAAATTGTGTTGCAAATATGGTCGTATTTCAATCACGCGTGTTTTGGAAACGAGCTTGTTTCATCTACTTGTTTTGGGAATCAGTTACCAACTTCTGGTTTTTGAATTGTATACTTGTCACACGCATTTTGCAATCCGGTTTTCAAATTCCTATTATGACTCGTTATGATGTGATTTGCAAAATTCGAGAGTTCATCTCAGAATACATGTTTCAGAGTGGCAACACGTTCTTCATATGTGCTACACTTGATAGACTTTTATCGGCACAACGTTCAATCAGTAAGTACAAATAGTTACAATAACAATACTGTGAGACGAACATTCTAACACTATATTTGTACACGGGTTTACGTTCAAATTGCAAGTCGGAGAATTAGTAATGTAGCACGATATCACTCTGTTCTAGTTTTCTCGCAATTTTCAGCTGAAAATAGAAATGACATCTATCTTATGCATAGTTTCCAAAGAGTGTTGAAATGCAGAGATAGTACTGAACTGAGCTGATTGGTACCAGTTCTATTTGTGTTGTGATGTGCTCAATAATGTTAGCTAGTTCTGATTAGTATTTTGATGGTAATGCTAATGTTCATAGAATCACAGAAATAGTGTACACGTGAAAATCCTAGTGAAAATTTTTATCTCATATAAAAGTAATTCCAAGTGTTTAATGAACTATCAGTACGGTTTGGTAATAAATTAAAAAAATATTTTCTTATGTTACAGCATATCGACAATGGAGCAATCGTGTTTCTCTTGCTTATAAACTAGTACTGGCATGTGCACTCTTTTGGATATTGATCTTGGGTCATCGATTAGTATATTACACTAATTCAAATGGATATTGTGCAGCTCAAGAAGGAAAATACGCTCTTTTTGATACTTATCTTGAGGCATTCCTGTCAGGAGTATTTTCACCTGTTACTGTGATCGTGCTCGCGTTTCTGCTTTTACAAAGTTTTCGAAGCATCCTGAAACGACGTGTAATGCCCATCAGTTTTGCTTCAGCAAAACCCAATACAAATTTCTCGCACCTACAACGGATCGACTCACAGTTGACGCGTATGCTGTTTCTGCAATCACTCATTGCTATTATTGCGTATATTCCTTATGGAGCTGCAGTTCTCTATTTCAACATCACTGACAAGTGGACTAAATCGACAACACAACAGGCTTGGGAACAAGTTATTGGTAACATTATTCGTCTATTTTCTTATCTGTTTGCTGTGACTGCTTTTTATGTATCGATGATTTCGAATCGTGGATTTCGCGAACAATTTATGCGTTCATTTGGAATAAAAAGAACCGTTCATCCACCGAAAAGGAGCAAGCACCACCATTAATCTTTTAATCATTCGTAATATTAAATCAAACTCAACGAATACCTTAAGAGTGGCATGGGGATGTGAGCTTTCACTAGAGAAGTCCTTCACTTACATCCTCTTCGTGTTTTAACAAAGAGAAGATCATTCTGAACTTTTCCTTTTATTCATTATGTTTTATTAATTCTCTTTTTTTCTCAATAAACTATTCATTCTCTTTCATTTGTCTGGACAGTACATTTTTATTTAATTGGAACCTGACCAACTTGTTGTCAGAGCAAAATCATTATAAAAGATATCGAATATTGAATCATTAGTAAAACAGGTGAAGTTGTATAACAAACGGGTATAATTTCATTAATTTACTTATTATTCACATGAATGAATGTCATCTATTAGAACAAATTTCCATTTGAAACATATATCGACTCATGATCATCTGCAAATACTTGAAAACGGATACATAGACATTTGAGCTTCTTGACAGTTAAGGACGTGGGTAAGAGTGCATGTGGATGGATGGGTATGAATATAGTTATGCGTAGTGCGGGTGTCGATGTGAAGAGAACCCACATCTACCTCTACGTCCTGTTGTGATCGGTATTATATATCGGTGCATTTTTAATGTGACTTCTTCATTGCGATATTCTTTCAATTAATCATCATACACTCATGTCTATCCTTCTCTTTTTCCTCTTCTATTTACTTTGTTGTAAGGATAAGAACCAATAGGTATCAATAGAACGAAAGAACAGCAGTTGTGGCACTTTCACACCCGCAAAAGAACACTGTACGTTGATTTTTTTCCTCTATACTTTAGAAAGTAACAACATGACATTAGACGTGCACGTAATTACTAGTGGTATTGAAATTCCACAGTCGATCCGTGGTCCGCAGACGATGAACAATGGAAAAAGTACACTGATGTTGAAAACGAAATTATTGAGAATGAAAAAAAAATCAAAAGAAGTTCGATATTGAAATCGATGAAGATTATATAATTAACTTAGAATGTTTATTGCAATATAAGAAAGGTGATGAATCTACAGCACATCCTATTAAACGTGTTCAGTTCCACAAAGATAGAAGTAATATTCATCCACGTGAAGAACGATTTTTATTACCAATGACACTTGCCACTTCAGTATATTCGTCTCAGCAGTTGCAGGATGAAAATGAACTTGATTGGCTGCAAACACATGGTTCTATTACGGGTTCTTATTGGAAGCTGGAACTAAAAGACAAGAATAAAAGAATTGCTGATGTTGTTGAAGAGGTTGGTGATGGAATTATTGAATAAGGATTAGTGATTGGTAAACTACATGAAGCACAATGGTTCTCTCAACAATTAGTGGCTGTCAAAGATTTTGGTTCCAACACCAAAGTAGACTCTATTAAAAGGTTTCCATCGGAAATCTGTGGAACCTGTGTCTATCTCTATACAAAAGAGTCATTCTGGTATAAATTAATTAATCGTGTCCTTCGTGATCCACATTCTATCAGTCGTAAACAAGTGAAAAGCTTAGGACCATTCTGTTGGCTACTTGATTGGTATTTGTATGCAAATCCTACAGCAGACATTTCAACAGTATACCGTAGTTTAAATGTAGACAATGAACAGCGAAAGCAATTCGTAGAAGAAGTGATGAAATTCACATATTTTACTTCAACAAGTCGTAACTGCAGAGTTGCTGAGTTTTATGATGGAAATACACTTCTCATTATTGATCTAAATCTGTGCGATAATAAACATAAACATTTTCTTTGTGGTAGAAACATATCATCTTTATCTGATTTTCCTCAAGAAGAAGAATTCTTAATTTGGCCAGGGAGAGAATTTGCTTTTGTTAAATATGAGTATGATATTGTGAAGAAGAAACATGTCATTTATTTAAAGTCGTTAAGTTGGGATTGATAAATTCATCATAACGTTCGACTTTAATTTTATCTGTCTCATACCACTACACCATATCTACTCCTTATATTATATGAAAAATTGTGCGCCTGCTTTATATACGTATTACAACTTCAACACCTAAGGTTGTGCTCTCCGAATCTGAAACATGAACGTTTGTTCTTCTAACATGCTTCTGTTCTACAAAGTAGACCAATATCAAAAGTTTGGCATACATTCGATTACGTCTGTCTTCGTCACGGCACT